TTCAATCACCCTGTTCCCTGTCTTCTTATAGCACCTCTGTACATTTCACCAACTCTCCACACTGCCTCTGGCTATGCATGGCACATGGAAGTGTGGTGTGTCTGCTATGTTACCTCCTGGACATGTGTCTGGCTAGCACTGCCTTATCCAAAACTGAATTCTAAAACCTCATCTCTGCCTGTGACATTTGACAACCACATCTACCAGAAGTTCTCATGGTATACCTACTCAGTATCAATATTGTATTTTCTGGAACAGATTTTTAGGAAGTGGTGACTTTTTAAACCTCTATATAACTCTGACCATAATGATAATTGTTGATAGAGTATTTGGATAAGTTAATCACATGCTTGAAGAAGAACTGACAGGACTATGTCCTTAGATTATCTATGTTTCTCTTCAAATGTATGTTTCTACTTGCAAAACAAAACAATGTGATGTTGGCTGATTGTTCAGTTGTTTAGGGATAAAATGATTCACACTACAGATAGTACTTAAAAAATGTTCAGTAACAGGTAGCTGAATCCAAATCCAATCAGTCCATCCATTGAAAACAATGCAATTATATATTTGCAACGAGATCTGGATAAAGCCACCTAGGAAGAATCAGTGTTTTGCTTCTCTTCCCTGTCACAGAGTTTTGTTTATCCATGGTGAGAGCCTATCGGTTTTCCTGATATAAGAGTGATTTATTCATGCATCTCTTTCTCTCTGCTTCTGAAGAGCCTGCTGAGGACAAGCAGGCATTTTCCATCTTGTTGCTTTCATTTCCCAAACAGAGTGTCTCCCCACAGCAGATGTGCACATGCACAGAGCCCACTATGAGACAATCTACCTTTTGTCTTGTTGTATATTGTTGTTTTATAGCTCAAGTTTTTCAAAAATATTTCTCATACCTTTTTCATAAATGATAAGCTAGAGTTGCTTAATCTGTGACCACTCTCCTCATTTCTGGATTATGAAATCTCTTTTGGGATGGAGCTGTAGTTGTAATTCCTTGTCAATGGTCACTGTAAGCTTAAAGTGGTTTTGAACTCCTATATGTGACTGAATTAAGTGGTCCAGTCAGCAAAGTCATGACAAAGAGTACAACCCTCTCTCTCAAGGTATTTGTCTCCTGGTGTCCATTACTTGCCCAACCTAAGAAAGAACCAAATAGTAGAGGGAAATTTTCTGAGTCCTAGGTAAACCATCCTAAGATAGGCATGGGAAAAGAAGGACTAGGTGGAGTATAATAGCTTATTAAAGCATGCTTTAGCAATGAATGAAAATTAATGGACCTTATATTGCAGTCTCTTAGCTGGTTCATCATCAACCCCATGTTTTTAGTCTATGCAGTAGTAAAGAGTTCATTGTTGCTGGTCAGATGTGAGGAGAGGAATATGAAAGAATCTTTGATTTTGACATTAATCAGGAAGATGATTGTTTCTAAAGAGGGATGGATGGTCTAGAAAATTAGCTCAAGATTGCCTTTAAAATGCATTGTATAATAAGAGAGAGAGAGAGAGAGAGAGAGAGAGAGAGAGAGAGAGAGAGAGAGAGAGTCTAAATGAGGAGAAGACTCTGCAAGCAAAGAACAAACCCCTGAGGACTGGATTTCTAATGTTTGGTGAATTCCAACAGGAATGCCATTCACAATGGAAGTGGCTTTGTGCCATAAAAATAATGGGTGCTGTTTCTATAATTAGAACATAACTAAAGACCAGTGCATGGCCCTGACAGTGAAATGTGTTAGCTTGATAGTTGAATTATTAACACTCTTCTGCTGACTGCTAGACACAGCGTTCAAGGTGTTACTGGCTAGTAAACAGGAGTGAAAAGCACTTCCTCACACATTTGCTTCACGCCTGAAAAACAAGCAGTTTAGCAGAAGACATCTGGACACACAATTTGAACAGAACTTAGAGCCCATCAAAACATGAATTTGATGGCTGAGCGTCTGGCTGCTAAGCAACACATCTTACATTCAAAACAGAGTTGTAAAAATGGAATCCTGGTGCCAACTCCGGGTATTTCTCATTGAAAAGAAATAGCTATGAAAGTTATTTCTTTCATATGGCCAGCCTGGAAATACCTGACTTCCACTGGACAGCAGAGCCCTGGTCTTCTCACTTCTAGACTTCTTGGTTTCCACTTTTTGAAACATTAGGCAGAGACTTACTTTGCATGCTGAGTACTTTCAAATGAGCATTGTCCGGTATCAAAATAGTTTCACTAACCACCTAATAGTCTTCCTTTAAATTAGAATAATATATTTATATTATCGGTGCTTTTTAAAGATTCAATTCTCGTGAAGTTAGATGAATATGTCAGAGATCAACTACAAGCCAAATGGCATTTGCTTTATTTAAGTATGCTTCTGCTTGGCAAGGAGGCCAGAGAGAACTCCACTAAAGGATTTCCCATGTGCAAACCAGCTTGGAGAATCTTGTTGCAATTCTTAGTAAAGTTAAGTTAGCGCTGGCAAAATGGCTGGCTCAAGTGGGTAAAGACACTTGCCACAGAGCCCGAGAACCTGAGTTTGATTCCTGAGACCCTCATGGTGGAGAGAAAGAACTCATTCCCAAAGGTGGTCCTTTTTGACGCCTGCTTACATGCTCTGGCTCATGACCTCCTCATAAATAGAATGCGACTGAGAGCTTTTAAATTAAAAACAACTTAAAGAACGAATTTATATCTATCATGCATTTGTCTAGTTAAAATACAGTGATGTGTTTTCCAGAGTGGAAAACACTGATTTTCAATTACCCAAGTACAAAACCAACACAGAAAAAGCAATACACACCATTTGGAATCACCGGCTGGTTTTCTTTTAGCTGGGAAATAACTGGGAAAAGTATGTGCCAGGGGGCAAAGAGTGAGGGGTCTTAAAGCTAATTTTGGAATTATGGACTACTCTTTTGTATTAAAACTTAAAGAAAATTATTATGATGATTGGCAGTCTATGCCTTTTGGTGTGGTCTGCCTACAAAAGTATTTTTTCCTCTTTCTTTAGGGAACCTCCTTCTACAAACTCTCCCAAGCCTCGTTCTTGGCAGGCACTCATGATATAGCAACACAAGGAAACACAGACGTGGAAAGTTGCTTATTAAAAAAAAGGGGACTTGGAAACCAAGTGAGAAAGGGATAGTTTTACAGCAGAACTTCACAGGGCAGCCTATGAAATAAATGTTCTACCATTTCAAAGACTAACATTAGGCAAAGGAATTAAAGGATGGCTTCCGGAATATCTCTTAATGACATGAAAGTTTTTCTGTTGTACACAAGGATGTGATGCCTACTTCTCCCTAAATGCTGCCTTTAGTGTCTTTGTTTGCATGTGGGCTACATTTATGTCCACCCCATGAACCGCAAGTTTTTCTCTCTTCTGAATTTATTAATGCTTCTTCCTTCATGCCATGGGTATCTTAGTAAAAATAGAAAAATTCAGTACCCCGAAGCCTCTGTAACGTGCCATTGAACTTTCTATCCTTGCTCTTTTGTTATAATTTGTATTTTACACAGTAAAAACAAGTTTGTAGTTGCTCCATCAATGCTGGATGTATCTCATACACCTAGAATGACTTTTAAACACCAGTCCCTTCCAGGCATATGAGAGGCACAAGTTAGGCAGAGAACTCTATTTTGGCAATGGACCAGGCTTAAATCAGAGACTTACAACCCATCAAATTGCTAGGAATAAGGACAACTGACTGCTCATTTTGAATGGGGGGGGGGGTGTATATCACACACTCCAAGGTCCAAGTGACACTGGGAGTGGGGAATAGGACTGTGACAGCCAGGCATGTGAGGGGTAAAGTGCTGACTTCTGGGTATGTGATGGCCATGGCAATCACGCATATACTGAAGCTGTGGTCATCTGTAGAAAGCACATGTGTACACACACACACACACACACACACACACACACACACACACACACACAGAGTAGAAGGGGTCTAGTTGGGAAGAAGGGAGTCAACAGGGATGGGAGGAGATAAGATAAGGGTAATGGGGAGGGGGGGATACTGTCAACCAAGACAGTTTTGTGGATTTGAACACTGGGGCTCACAACTACCAGCAAGCTCCTACTTTTTGTCTGAAGTGTCACACTAACTTGGTGGTCTGGTAACTGTGTAAACAGATCTGTTCCTCCCAGAATGTCTGGGTTTCTAATGACCCATCTCTTTCCTTCTCTGTAACCATCTTCCCTAACGTGGGGAAGTCCTTGGAAAACATTCATTCCCCACATCCTGAAGCTCTGCCCAGACCTTCAGAAACATTCATCCAAAACTCAAACCTTCCAACTGGACTTGACCCTTGTTTGGCAGCTGGGTTGGAGGGTGGTGTTTGTGATGCGCTAGTAGAAAGCCTTGTTCAAGGACCTGAGGGGTTGTCCTCCCAGCTGATTGGACTTCTGCATCCTCCTGGCCCTCCCTCATTCCTTCCTTCTCAGCAACTCAGATTCCAAGGTGGACACGTCAGAAGCCCATTTGGAAGCCCCATTAGAAAGGAGTCCTTTGGAAAGGGCTAGTGTGGCAGAAGGGTTCGCATAAGGACATTTACAAGGGAGGTCATCAATCAGATAAAAGCAGCTGCCAACTTTCGAGTCCTTCCCACTAAGTTGGACAAAGTAGTATTTTTGTCTTCACTGGGAAGTAGAAAACACGATTTCAAAGGCAATTTTACTTTTCCCACTTTCCATTTAACTGTTCACCTTCCTCAAGCATGAGCATGTCTACTTAATCGTGCTCATACACTATACTCTTCTGTCTGACTGGATGGCATCTAGCATTGTTGAATGTTGACCTCCCAAGCAAGTCTCCTCACCTAAAGCAGGAATTACTGCAGAGGCTAATTGGAACACCCGAGTGGAGCTGGAGGCTGAGTTTCCTGCAGGATGCAGTTAAGCAAATCTAGAGTGAGAGGCAGGTGGTTTGTGGTAGAAGCGGAGCTACCAGCAAGACTTTCCCTTCCACTTGCCTCCTATCCCAGACGGGGCACCCACCCGCTACACTTACCTCTCGGGTGAAGAGGATGGCTGCATCATAGTGCTCCTCGTGGTCATCGCCTAGCTGGTTGTGCTGGTGCTGCCACTTGCAAAAGTTCTTGAGGGTCGTGGCGGCATTCTTGCTCACCTCCAGACTCTTCTCCTTGTCAGCCAGCACCACCACCTTCACCACGGCCAGGCGGATGTGGTTCTCGATGCTAGCGTGACTGTACAGCCGGTTGGCGATGGAGGCTAGGGTCAGCAGGTAATGCTGCAGGCCCCGGCCATACATCCTTGCCATGGAGGAGTCAGCCACCAAAAGGAGCTCCACCTGGCGGGCCCTAGAGATGGAGCGGCGCCTCCGCCTCCACCAGGTCTGAGGTCCTGCGTCCCCAGCTGGTGAGAAGGCTGACTGGTCTAGGAGCTGCGGGGCCAGAGCTGCGCGTCGCCTGGAACTACCGTGCACCGAGGGGCGCTCTTGAGGCCTAGGCGGGGACGCGGGAGTCTCACAGCTGGCGCGTGGCGGCAGGGCTTCGAAGCTGAAGCCCTCGCGGGTGTAGATGTGCAGGACGCGCGAAGACCCATCCCCGTACACTCGTCCGGCCTCTGCCTCTGCCCAGGACCCACGCAGGAGCGGCTTCAGAGTGTAGCGCGCGTGCTTGACCGCGAAGAAGCCGTCCAGACCCCCACAGAGGTCAAAGACAGCTAGTGATCTAGGGCTGCCATCCACAGTGCCCCGGTAGAAGCAGTGACCCCGGTGGCTAGATGATGCACTCAGCCCGCCTCCTGCAGTAAGGATGCCACCAGCGGTGCCCACTGAGTCATCCCTCTCCAGATCCAGCAGGAACCTCCGGCCGCCCAAGTAGACAAGGTAGCCCACCTTGCCCCCGCCTGAGTAGAGCTGGTCTATATTCTGCACCAGCCCGCTGCTCCTGCGCTGCTTGGCCAGGAGGTTCGGATGCTCCAGCTCCTGCGTCTCCTCCCCCTGCCGCTGGCCCGGCTGGGCGGCCACTGCAGCAGCCCGAGGCTGCCTTGTTTTATCCTGGGCAGGTGCCCTGGTGGGGCTGTCAGCGGTCAGGGACAGGCAGGACGCGCACAGCAGCAGCAGCAGGGACGCCCACTCGAGCCGCATAGTGCGCTGCCCGCCGGGAGGGGCTGCGCGATTGAGTCTAGCTGGATGTTTGCTATTTGCTATGGAAGTTTCAGGGGCGGGGGTGGGGGACTCACCCTCCCACCCACCTACCCACACACTCTCTACACACTTGGCTTGCAAGGTTGAGTCAAGTGTCTAGGGGAACCCGCAGCAGACCGCCAGCCTGCCCTGGCCGCGGTGCCAGCGTGCGAACTTTTTCTTTGTTGGTTTGGAAAATGTTTGGAATTGTGCTCCAAGAGACGGAGAGAGAAAAATTAAAAGGGGGAGGGGAGGAGGAGCAAAAAGCAAAAGCCAGGCGGTGGAGAGCTACCAAATAAGAAAAAGGAGAGAAGCCCAATGCAGACAAGATCGTTGCACAAACCATCAAAACAAATGAGAAAGGAGAGTAAGGAGGGTGACCACGCTCCCCGCCCGCAACTGGTGCGCGTTGACTCCCGCCCCCTCGAAGCCTAGGGCTCGCCGGCTGCGGAGCTTCCAAGCTCCAACCCACTTCCTTTCTTATTCCGTGGGCTTCCTCGGCTCTGCTGGAACCCGAAGGCAGGAGGAAAAGAGACGGAAAAAAAAAAAAAAAAAAAAAGCCCTAAAATGTTTAAAATCAAAAGGCAAGAGACGGCCTGCGGCGAGCCAGCGAGGCAGCGCGTCCGGGACCCTTCCGCTACCGCGTCCTCCCGCCCGCGGTCATCCCCAGTCGGCTGCGGCGGGCGCAGAGAGCGGCTCCAGCACTGTGAAGATGCGAGGAGGTGGGACAATGAATTTATAGCGGCGTGCCATCCTGCAATGGCAATTTCAACAATTCGTCACTGCACGCTGCCTCTTAAAGGGAGAGCTTCCCCCACCACTCCCACCCTTCCCGGTCCGCGCCTAATCCGATGGGGGAGGGCGCAGGGAGAGGGAGGAGGGTGATCGAGGAAAGGGAGGCCGGGAAGGAGGAAGGGATCCAGGACCTGGCAAGGTGGAAGGAGAGACAAAGGAGGAAGCTAGGTAGAGGAAGGGACAAAAAAGTATTTGGGCAGGAAAACAGGAAATTTCCTTGGCCTCATTTAAAGCCGAAGCAACTCCGGGTCCGTGTGATATTTCACAACCAATCGGGGTTGGCTAACCTCGGCTTACCTCATCTCCTGAAGGGGTGTTTTGCTGTTTTAAAAGTCTTTCCCTGCCTCCTTCCCCTTGCTGTGGGAGTATGAAGTTCTTGCCTCCTTTTGCGAGCTGGTGCGCTCTGGCCTTGCAGACCTGGCAACTCCATCCGCTGGCTAGGACTTCCAGCCGCCGGTGCATTCCCAAGTCCTGCTCTCTTTTCCCTGGCTCCCTCCAGCCGGTCTCGGTAGCTCATTTCCAACCTTCTCATCTAGTTTGTGCAAGCTCCAACACTTGCTGACTTCGGGCTATGGGTGACTAACTTCTCCCCGGCCACCAGCTGAGCAGCCAGCCGGGTAGCCGCGGGTGCTTCCTGGCGCGTCTCTGGGCAAGCGGCGCTGCGCTGCGGTGACCCCGACAGGGCCGACTGCGGCCTGGGAAGTCCTTGGCTTTGTGTATAAATGGCGGTGCTCCCAGCTTGCTCCAGCGCATAGTTGGTCAGTGCCCACAACCTGTCAGTTATTCCAGCCACTGGAACTTTGGGGGCTGTGGAATGTCAGGGTGGGAAAGAGTTAACTGTTGAAGGCAATTTCTGCATTCCCCTCTCAGACTTTGAAATTTTGTGCTCACACTTTCCCCACTTACTGCTGAAAAGGTAATTAAATGGCAGACACTCCTTTGTTTACTTACTATGCCTCTCCTAAGTCAGCCACTCCGCTCCAGCTCCCCCCTCCCCCGCCCGTTTTCAAAAGCTCCTATTGGGGTGAAAGACTGTTTTAGCGGAGGAAAGTTGGTGATCATTAGTAGGCAGGTGGCGTGGTCCCTGCTACTCAGTTTCTCCATTCTTTGTTTCCTCTAATTATCATTTCCAAAAAGGCAAAAAGAAAACCCAGTGACTTTCTCACACCAAGCTGATATGTAGCAGGTCCACTGTTAGTCCCTGCATACACCCCATATAATTTACACATTTCCATCCCTTTTAATTTCACTGTTTCTGAGGCTAGATGGGATACTTACACACTTCCCCTAAAGTATCCATTCTCAGGGAAGGTACTTTGAGGCCCAAGACCAGGGAAGGCAAAACAATGGTTAAAGAGGGCATGAATTTGAGAGAGAACAAGGTGGGGTGGGGGTGGGGATATGCATTAGGAGGAGTTGGAGAGAAAAAAGGGAAGGGGGAAATGATGTAATTACACTCTAATTTTTAAATTTATTAAAAATAAAACAAAAGAACTATCAAGCGGTGATGTCCATCACCCTTGTGTGTGCTAATGACCCTGTGGAGTCCTCTGGTACACAAGGAAACCCAGTCCTGATATCTGGTTCTCACTCAGAAATCACTGCTGTGACTAAGTGACTAACAAGAAGCACCTACAGAGAGGAGGGATTTATTTTGGCTCCTAGAATGAGGGGACACAGTCCATTCTGATGGGAAGGCACGGTGGTAACAAGAGCATGAGGCAGCTGGTCAAACCGTGCCATCAGTCAGGAGACAGAATTAGACAAATACCGGAGCTCATCTCAGTTTTTCCTTTGTCTGCAGTCCAGAATCCTACCTCATGGAAGCGTGCTGCCTACACTCAGGGTAGACATTCTTTGGCATCCAATGAATCTATCAAGACTTTTTACAAGCATGTACAGAAGATTGTCTCCAGGTGATGTTAGACCCTGTCAGTATTAACCATCACTGAAATCAGAGGATTTTGGAGATGCCAGGAACACCTAGCAGCCTTGATGGATCCTGAAATATATCAGGATCTAGAAGGAGGCCAGAGGCTGCTGCTGAAAGCATTTGCATTTCCCAAATGCTATGGTTTTTTTTTTTTTTTTTATAGTCATCACTACCATGCAATGTGCAGGCATTAAAGGTAAAGAATGGAGGTCCAGAAACCTTTTCCATTTCCCACTAACCTTCAGTTTTATGATGACCACAGTCTCTCCAGGGGAGATGGCCTGTGCCTGTGGAAGCAGTAGAGGTCAAAATGAGAATGTCTCCAGAAAGTCACATGTTTGGTCTCCAGTGGCTGGAACTGTTTGGGAAGGATCAGGAGGTGTAGCCTTGTTAGAGGAGGTGTGTCACTTGGGGTTAAGTTCTGAAGTTTCGAAGGGTTCTGCTTCCAACTTTGGAATCAAGATGTGAGCTCTTAGCTGTTCCTTCCATCATGGACTGTAAACCTCTGAAATTGTAAGCCCAATTGAATTGTTTTTTTTAATTAAATTAATTTTTTTTATTTTGTCCTGATCATGGTGTTTTGTCATAACAATTAAAAAATAACTAAGACACAAACTTTACTTCTTTTATACCACTTTCAGAAAAAAAAGTCTAGTATTTGGCATCAAGCACAGTCTCCAAAAGGACTTTTATTTGAAACATTTAACTGGTTCGTTATCTGTGTTTCAAAGGATCATTTAAAAGACAGTCACTTCAGGTGATGCTAGGCTAAAAGAATTTCCTACTGACTTTGTCCTCATGGAAGTCTTTAGTCATCTCACAAAAATACCACTCTTCTAAGAGGATGCCTGAATCTGAATGTCGTGCCTTCAGCTCTGATAAATGAATGACATTAGAATGCAGACAAATTAACCAAAACTTTGGGAGTATGTTAAGAGTAGATCTCTTTCAAAAAGTGAGCATCAAATAGTAAATATTTATTGGAAGTACTTGTCACAGTGAAAGGGGGTAGATAGAGCTTGAAATACAATGGATAACTTCTTATTGAAGGAATTTTTTTATTGGGCATATTTTTATTTTCTGTGGAAGGTACTTATACACTGTAGAAAGTTAATTTGCTACTATTTGAAACAAAGATACAGCTCAGGGAACCAGCATTAGCTGAGATGTCACATAACAGAAATTAACCATTGCTAATTCACAGAAGAAATTTTGACTAGGTGAAAGTAGCAGTCTTTAATTGTACAATAGAAAGACATAATATACTGTCCACTGTGTTTAGATAAAGCCATTTATTACTTTACTGACTGGACAGCTATTTTGGTGCATAAGTGATGGGAATCACTTTTTTGTTACATTATTGAATGGATGATCCCAAGTCACTGATATATAAACTGTACATTTTCCCAAAGAAAGATTTTTCTACTGTAGCGTACTACAAGTTCAAATTTACATGGGGATTATGTAAGGCATCTACTAAGCACCAGTTAGTCACAAGCTGAGGCCTACAAGCTAAAATGACTTGCCTGTGGATAAAAAGCCTACTGGTGACTGGGTCTCCCAAAACTGAAATCTCCTAACTCTTAATTATGTTCAATCCACAACACCTCTTAAAAACCTACACAGCTTAAGAAAAGACACCTCAAGGTGTAAAGGGTTTTGTGAGACTCTTGGGGGACTTGTGAAGGTGAACAAGGCACCATTGATGTTTGCAAGGAATTCACAGGCTCAACGATGGAGCCAAGGAGATCAATAGGTACTTGGACTCCAACCTGGAAAATACAAATACGGAGGGGAAGAAAGAGCAATACCTACAGGTGTTCCACACTCTGTGCTTCCAGCGCGGCTGCACTCCACAGGATTTTGGAGCCTGGGTAAGTAGAATTTTCTCAAATTTCCATTTGCTAAAGTGTCAAATCCTCACCTCTACCCCAAACTATGGTTTTAATGGTAAGAGTGAGGAAATACCCAACAGTAAAATATTCCCCTCTAGCCAAACACCTGTTTTTTTACCTCCCACATGGAAGAATCACAGCCTCTCAACTCTGTTTTGCTTTCCCACATCAAGACTTCTACCCCAGGCCTTGCTGCGTTTGGAACCCTCTCCCTTGGTGCAGGGAGCACAGATGCATTGAGCACAGATGCACTGAGCACGGATGCATTGAGCATGGATGCTGGGAATGAAAATGTCTTACTGCATGGGCCCTTTTTAAATAATGTCAGGTGAGCCTCTTCCTCCTGCTTCTCTTCGATTGGCAACATTCTAGCTCTTAGAAGTTGCTGTTCAAAACCAAAATTATTGCAGTAAGGTAATGAGGATACATGCTATTCTAGCTTTGACACAAACCCAGAGTCTGTAGAGGGTTTTTAGAGACTCTGCTGCCGAATAATGTCCCTTCCTTCACATCCCACCCTTGCCTTCTCTTATATTCCACAATGCAGACATGAATCTGGTGACTAGTGTAGTCTTAGCATTTCACAAGCAGCAAACATACTTAATACATGTTACTATGCGCGGATGTGCAGATGCACTCACTGCAACCCACAGTCCCCTCTAGACTGCACTGATGACTGATATAAGGTCCTGCTCAAAGCTCAGACAAATAAAAGAGATTCCATAAACCACTCTTTCTCATTTGCAAAGACAATATTCTTGAGACTTGGTCTGGAGAGATTTTTTTTTTCCAGCAAAGAATTTACTTCATGCCTGATAGAACCCAAATTCATTTTCTCTGCTATCTGAATAAGATACATGGCAGACAATCTTTCTTTTGTGATTGATCACATGTGTTTTCAAGTCTGTTTTACTTAACATTAAAACAATACATTTTTAGAAAAGCTAGATTTTTATTTTTATGTACACAGGAATTTTATACTGTATAAAAATCTTTGCATGAAAAATGAACACACATATTACTCAAGACATACAGGTGTTATCTGTAAAGAAAACAGGCAAGTCACTTTTTTTATGCTGACCAACTATAAAATGTTGTTTTTAATTTTCTCACACAATTATGCACATATTACTTGCTTTTATGAGTTATCCAAATTCTCTTTTTTCCCTTTATTTTCCAAGAATTGTCTAAAAAAATCAAGTCTTACTGGAAATACATGGAGAACAGGGAATTTCCAGCCCAGAGTAATGTGAAACCTTTGAGGTTTCTTTCCTTTCCCTTTTCTTTGTCCTTCACAAATTCATTCCCAACGATGTACTTTCAAGCACCAGTGAGTAGCAGTGTAGATATTGATGGGATTATTCCTACTGAAGAAGAAGCTCAAGACGGTCCAAACAAAGCTGATGATCACCGACTGGCTATTCACCCAGAGATGGTAAAGAAATGGGAAAAAGGAGCTGCCTAATCAATTTGCTGGCCCTACAAATTGCTTAGGTGGTCAGTGCAAATTCTGTACAGCCTTTCTTGCTTAGGATGGTCAATGGACAGCCACATATCTCCCTAGTGCATGCATTTCTCAGAGGCACCTCCAGGCTACACTGCTCTATGAGGGTCTGGGAAAGACACTGCAACTTTCATTCAATGTATTTTACTTTAGGGATGCCATTTATCTCCACATCTTGACTTCCCAACTCCCAAATCATACTGGGAAGGAGGAAATGATAATGTACACCTACTTACCAAATGAAAAATTTGACCTAAGTCCAAGAAAAGACAAAGGTTCATCTTCAACTCTTCCCTTTCCCCACTCCTAGCTGGCCATACATGGCTCTGTTGGAAACTCCCTAATTTTATTATTAGCTGAAGCATCCCAGGATTCCAACAGATTTGCTACTTCTAACCTTTGAAAATGTGAACAAAATATCAGCAGAAATAGTTCCTGCCTGATTAGCAGCTTAGGGAGTTAACGTTTGTTAGTGGTTTTCCATATGGCTCTTCTACATCACCAACCTCTTGCTTTACTGATTGCCTTGTTCTCTTCTCAGAACCTTTTCTACATCTGTGTAAAACCTTGCCAGCCTGTGTTAGGAATGAAACCAGGTTCCCTAGCCCTTCAGATGGATGGGGTATCAAATTCTCCTGAGGATGAAGATGAGTCAAAAATGAAGAGGTAGTTGAGCTGTCCCTGCTGATACTACTGACCAAGTTCAAAAGCATCCTCTAAGGATACCCATAAATCTACACACAAAGCTCACTAGATCCTTGATGACCTTGCTAGTTTGGGTCCAAATGGTTCAGGTTCCTGTCAAATCATACTTGAAAGAGTTCTGACTTGGGAGTCCATAGAACTAATTACTATTAGTGGGTTGTATGTTACTTTATACTTTTTATAATTAGTTCCATAATCTCCTTCCCATTTTTGTCTTCAGCTCAGGCACACTTCTACCTTACATGCACAATTAAATATATAACTGGTGCAGCTAACTATAACCTTAGTAGATGTCTTTTATTTTAGAGAATGGTACTTTTGAGCCCGAGGAATGTGGAAATGCTAACAGAAAGAAACTGGCTAGTGCGAGGTACAGAAAGCTCATGTGGAACCACAGCTGAACTTGACAAAAATTTTCAGAGAATACATAAATAACTTTCAAAAATGCCAGAGGATTAAAAGACAAACGAACCCACCAGAGTGTCTCCTGGCTCCCAGAGGGCCGTTTTACAATGTCTTGAGACTATTAGGTGTTGTTTTTTTTTTTTTTTCTGAACTCTGTTATTTTTGACTTTTGATAGTAGACACTTAAGGCTGAGTCAATCCTACACAGAGTAAAATTCCTGTAGGTTAAAAATGGACTTGAAGTCTCACAGTTGGCTTTTGGTTGGCTTCTCTCTGTTTTCTTTCTAACTTTTTATTTCTCCTTCCTTCTCTTTGCCTCCTTCCCTCAATTCCTCCTCTGCTTTCTTTTTTTTTTTTTTTTTTTTTTTTTTTTTTTTTTTGGTTTTTCGAGACAGGGTTTCTCTGTGTAGCTTTGCGCCTTTCCTGGAACTCACTTGGTAGTCCAGGCTGGCCTCGAACTCACAGAGATCCGCCTGCCTCTGCCTCCTGAGTGCTGGGATTAAAGGCGTGCGCCACCACCGCCCGGCTTCCTCTGCTTTCTTTATCCCTTCTTTACTCCCTCCCTCTGTACACCTTCTCAATCTCCAGCACTCTCTTTCTTACTCTACCTTTTGCTCTATAGCATCCTCATCCTGTCTCTCTTCCTTCCCCATCTTCACTGGAATACACACTCTGAAAATGAGCCACCCTCTCGTTCCTCGCCAGTGTGACTCCAGTTAAAAGGGGAATAAATGGGAAGGAGGAGGCATGAACACTGAAAAACCTGCATTAACTATTTTAACACTTACGCATTTAGGCATTTATTGATATATCTTGTTCCAAGTCTTTACCACATTTTATCTAATAGTAAAAACTGGACTTATCTCAGGAAATACAATCTACATCCTCAAACTTCCCATCTTTTTCTCATGGATATGGGCTCAGGGTATGAACCTTGGCCACTCAGATGCCCTTACACGTGCCAGAGCAGTTGATTCTAAAAGAGCTTCCCACACTGAAGCTCCCCTTGGAACACTCATTTTAAATTCAGCTGGATGCACATTTTCTGTG